AAACACAGCTGCAGAGGACAGCCCAGAAACTTCAGGTGGAGAAAGCATGCAGCTGGAGCCAGTCAGTGATAAGGAAAAGGAATTGCCTGCTGCACCTGATTCTGCTTTGGACTGACATCCTGCCTTGACTTAGTTTGTGCCTGGTGAACCCTGGACTTTTCTTGCCTTGTGAACCCTCTTGTATTGTGGATTTAATTTTGCCTGGTGGATTCATTTTGACTGGGAAACTTTCAAGTGTCTTGTGGACTCATTGGCCATTGCTTTATGGACTAGCATTGGGCTGCTTGTGGCTGGACTTAATTGGAACACTTCTGGGTTTTTGGTGAAGGGAGTTGCAGGAGAATATTAATAAATCCATTAAACTACAGTTACGTGGGTGTTATGTGTGAGCAGGACAGCACAATTGATGTCTTTAGCAGATGTCACTACTTGATCTGTCCTTTGAAGCTACACAGGATCAGAATTGCTTAGTGCTTGGATGGGAAACCACCAGAAACTTCTGGGTTGTAAGCTGGACTGATAAATAAATAAATATCCATATAATCTAGAACGGGGTAGGCAACCTTGGCTCTTTTATGACTCGTGGACTTCAGCTCCCAGAATTCCTGAGCCAGCTATGCTATGCTGGCTCAGAAATTCTGGGAGTTGAAGTCCACGAGTCATAAAAGAGCCAAGGTTGCCTACCCCTGATCTAGAACATGGGTGTCAAACTCATTGCGTCACATGTCACAACTTCTTTTTCCATTGCTGGAGCTGGGGTGGGCTGGCCTTTGCGTGATGCAACTGGCCTGCGGGCCGGCAATTTGACACCCCTGATCTAGAATAATGCAAAGTCAGATGACTTATATTGTTGCCAAGAATGTGTCAAAGGCTTTGCCATGAAATCAGCAGCAGCTGAGCCCAACTCAAAGGCAATTTTACAGGGCTACCAGATTTGGACTACAAAACTCCAAACAACCACTAGATGGCTACACAGAAATAAAGAAAATCTGTTCATTGTCATTTCATGATCATTCAGGTTTTTGCAGCCTAGATGTTGAGCTTTTAGTGAAAGGGCAACAAATAAATATTTATTTATTGAATCAATTTATATAGTTGTCCAACTCAGTGTGTGATTCTGGGTGGTGGGCAATAACAAAATAAAAATAAAAATCACAACAAACACAAAAATTAAAATACATAGCAGTTGAGAAAGTATTATAGCCCCAAATCACTAACATATCCAGAAGATCGGTCTCTTCACTTACTTAGAACTCCAGGGCTGGATACAGAACCAGCTTTTTAAGGCTGTATAAAAGGCTAGCAGGGTCAGGCCCATCCTGATCATCAGAGGAAGAATATTCCATCAATGGAGCAGCAGAAAAGGCATGCCTTCTGGGCTCTACATACTGGCATTCCTTAATCGATGGGCCAGGATCTGACTGGACTGGAAGGGTAGAAACAACCAGTTTGAGACAATCCTTCAAGGCAACCCAATCCCAAGCCATGCAGGGCTCTAAGAGTTATAACCAACACCTTGAATTGCACTCAGAAGCACACTGGCCACCAATCCAGCTCATGAAGTAGTGATGTTATATGTGCCAGGTAAGCAACACCTACATGGTAATAAGCCAGCCCCATGTAGAGTGAATTGCAGTAATCCAGACAGGAGGTTACAAGGTCACATGAGTGATATTGAGCAGGGCCTCCCAGTCCAAGAATAGACACAACTGATGCACAACCTGAAATTGTGCAAAGGCCCTCCTAACCATGGCTACCACTTGCTCTTCAAGCAGGAGCCCACATTGTGCACTCCCACCATCATCATTTAGTTAATGGGGTGTCATCCTATTTTATCTTGCATAAATAAATGCAACTTTTATTCACGGGTTGCTTCTGGTGGTCTACCACAAACTCATGATTCATCCAACTCTTAAGAAGTGACTATATGCTAGTAGAGAAACTCAACGGCAAACTCAGTGAGATTTGTACACAATAGGACCAGATGTAAAAGAAGACAGGGCACCTGTCCGTTTCCTAATTCTGTAGGCAAGAATATTTTAGCTGATGCCACCAGCAGGACAACCAATTATTAAAAATGTATGACCTCTGTTTTTTTATGTATCTAGCTATACTGGATATAAATTAATTATATAAAAGAAATTAAAAGTAATTGAAATTAAGAAGAAGTTGCATGAAAAAGTTTGTAATGAGAATCTTTAAAAAAACAATACTGCAAGAGATGTGCAAGAGAACTTTCCAGGAGACTGTGTTAATGGGATTAACCAATAAGCACAATCCAAAAATGTATTATTACATTGTAAACCATCCTTTTTCCTCTCTTAAGAAATATAAAGATACATTGTTGCTTTATAAACATATATTTTAAAGCAGGGGTGTCAAACTCGCGACGTCACATGACGTGTTGCGACGTATCGCAACTTTTTCCCCATTGCCGGCAATGGGGTGGGCGCGGTTTTGGCGTGACGCATCTGGCCCGTGGGCCGGTAGTTTGATGCCCCTGTTTTAAAGGATACAATATGATCTATGTAGAATAAGTGCCACTGAAAGCACCATAGTAATCATTAAAATGAATTTTGAGCATTTGTCTTTTGGAAGCATCATTTTCAGAATTTACACATTTATTATTGCAAATATAATAACATCTAATATATGCAATAGTTATAAGTATCTTCTGGGTATTCTGTGGATTTGCTCATTCATACATTTATATTCCATTCTGTGGTTCTAAAAATCATTCCTGTCGCATCTCACATAAGAAACCAAATCAAAAACAAGTCAAACGCAACAAAATTGAAAACCAAATACAGTATACAGTCTCATCTTTTGGGGCCTCTGAAGATGTTGCATTTCAATGCACATAACCACCAGCTAACAAGTGCAAGAACACTTAGGCTAAGAACTGGGCGCACTGATACTCTACATTTGAAGAACTATTGATTGGGGAAAGCTGGCATGATCTAGCAATTGAGCCTTCAAATGATGGAATGGTGCATCCAAATCCAGAGAAGAAAACTACTACTAGCTGAGAACTGATGCTGCCTAACAATTTGCCTGCCTATCTTCATTACTTTTGCCATTTCTCTTCTTTTTCTGTATACTTAAAATGAATGTGGAGAAATATTGCTCAACTTAAACAAAAATGGCATATGCTATCCAAAACCTTTTATATCACAAATGGCATTGCTGGTGCTATGTTATCTTTCCTGCTCTCACTCATTCATAAATCATATTTATAGGCCACCCAAATCAGAGCAACTCTGCAGGGCATGAACTGTAAGAAGAAAGTGGGCTAGAGAGAAATTTTTCACTCTGAAAACTTCAGAAATTAGTTTTCATCAAATAGGATTAAGTGAAAGTAGATTTGGGCAGCTGGCTGCAAGTACTTTTTCAAATAACAAATAGCAAACTTACACAATGTATTGTTAGAAGATATCATTATGGTAATCACGTTAAGTAGCATAGATAATTTGAAAAAAGGGGTTAAGCCAGTTCATCTACAGTTATTAATCATGGGGTAAACAGTGCCTACATATACAAAAGATGAATGTCATGAATACAAAATTGTGCAAAGAAATCACATAGGAGAACTCATGCCTCCGTGTTCTCTTGTGGGTTTTCCAAAAGCATTTGGCTGGCCACTGCTGGAAACAAAATGCTGAACTAAAGGGTTCTTGATCTGATCTTGTATGGCTCTACACACACACACACACACACACACACACACACACACACCACAGCTGATGTTCCTCCATATAGAAACTCTGAAATGCAGGAAGTCAGTACTCGGAAAAGATTTCTGTCTATTAAGCTTCCTTGATTGTTCTTTAAGAAACTAAACAGTAAATGGACAGGGAAAAGACACCTAAGTATAGAACTCTGGCAAAACCCCAAAGCTGGAATCTTTCTTTGGTAGTTATGGAACTGATGAGGCCATCTCTGGGGAGTAGATGCCATCTTCATTTACTAAGGGATCAGGAGTCATTATGCTTTCTTGGTTTTTTAAAAGTCAATCTATGTGAATATTAAGGCCCCAGCTAAAATAGTGATTAAATTTATTATTTTGAGGAGTACTTTGTGCTGTGCCTTCTTAAATGTCTGTTTTGATGTTGCTTTTATTACTGTTTGTCCCTTTTATATGAGTAAGCTCCCTTGAGAGAGCTTTTCACCATAAATGTAGGCCAGAAATATTCTAAATAAATGAAAATGTCATCTCTTATTATTGAACTCTTTTGAAAAATCGCTTCCTGATTCTTCTTGAGTTGTCAAGAATATTAGAACTGAACATCTATCTGGCAGTAGGTTGGGATGGATGCACTTTATAAAAACATGAAACACAAAAATTACTTATTCTTCTCTTAATAGCAGTCAAATGGAAATAGAAAGCATAACCATTAAAAGTAAGTTATGCTAGAATCTGAATTATAGCATTAATGATAAATCTGGCATACTAACAAAGGGCTCCTAAATTCAACAACTTTGAAAAAAAATCTGCTTTTTTTTCAAATATAATAACAATATAATGACAGCTCTTTTCCCATCATTCAGACACCTATGTTTCTAAATAGTTTTCAAACATATGTTTTCATTTTAGAAAAATCCAAATATGGAAGTTAATTTATAAGACTGTCAACACCAATAATACAGATATAACCACATGCTGAAATGTGTAGGTGTTTGTTTGGCTCTGTGCAACAAAACAAAGGGACGAAAAGTAATCAACTTCCTCAGTACATACATGATACAACCACAACAAGCAATAGAGAAGAATCTCCCTGCAATTCACCATGAAGATTTTAGCATATTTTGTATCCCTGAAAATGTACCTTTTCTCCCGGCTGTGTAATCCTTCCATTTCTCTGCCAGTTTTCCCTCACCAATTTAGGCACTTATTAAACCATCTTCCTGCCAGGCACAGTCTTCCAATTCTAACACACTGCTGCATGTCTTGCCACACTAAGACAGAAGTAAACAGTATCTTAAAGCTCTTCATTTCTTACCTGGCTCTGTGCAGTTCTTTTTGTGTGACTCATTATGTGATGCCATCAATTTTCTATTCCTCCATAATTCTGACAGAACACTTTGGTTTTCAACAGCTGACTCTTGTCCTGCACAAAGACAGACACTTATTTGTAAGGGCAAAAAGGACTTTGGGTTATCCATATATATATATATAATTCTTTCCATTAGAAAACCATTAGACTAAAATGGAAGTTGCCTCCTACTGAATCAAACCATTAATACATCTATCACCATGAATTCTCCACTGTATTAGCTGGAAAGGAGTATCCAATAATTTTTTGACACATATAAATTATATATGGACTGATGCATAATAGAAAAATATCCAAGACAAGAGGAGGGATGGGAAGGTGATAAGGAAGAAAGACAAAAAGTGCTATAGTGGTTACAGTATTGGCTTCAGAAATCAGGATGTGCAATGGACGTTTTTGTGTGACCTTGAACTAACAGAATATAGAATATTCTTTATTGGCCAAGTGTCATAGGACACAAAAGGAATTTGTCTCTGATACATAAACTCTCAGTATACACACAAGCAACAAAGTGATAAATCACAAGATACAAAACCATCTCATAGAGTTGTGAAAAAGTAAGATATGGCCATTAATACTAATAATATGCAGAAAGTTCCATCCTGATCATGTGAGTGATCAACACAGCCCAGTTAATCACTTAACTGTGATGAGCAAGAATGCAACATGGTAGATAAGCACGGGACTATCTATGGAGGGACATGCAGGCATAGAATCATAGAATCACAGAATCACAGGATTAGATTCTTTTCTAACCTCTTGCTCAGGGCGGGAATTTAACAGACAAATGGCTGTTCAACCTTTGATTGAAAATCTGGAGGCTAAAATATATAAGGAATGGTTGTTGGAATTGGTTATGTCTAGTTTAATGAAGATAAGGATGAGGGGTGACATGATAGCAGTGTTCCAATATCTCATGGGTAGCCACAAAGAAGAGGGAGTCAAGATATTCTCCAAAGCGGGGACTTCCGGTGGCAGGCGCCTTCGCTGGACGCAGCTGTTTGCTGCTCCCGCCTGTTTCTGCGTAAAAGCCGTTCTGACAGCCTGCATCAGCTGTCAAACGGCTTGATACCTCTCCCCTGGGCATAGGGGGAAAGGTGAGCTGCCCGAGGTAGGAGTTGAGTTCCCGAGTCGTCCCTTGTGGACGATGTAGGTGAGA